CACTCCTCGACATGCAGGTACAGCTGTGTGAGTGAGATAGGTAACTAACCTCACACACCCCTCGACATACAGGCTTACAGCTGTGTGAGTGAGATAGGTAACTAACCTCACACACCCCTCGACATACAGGCTTAGCTGTATAAGTGAGATAGATAGCTAACCTCACACACCCCTCGACATACAGGCTTAGCTGTATAAGTGAGATAGATAGCTAACCTCACACACCCCTCGACATACAATCACAGCTGTGTGAGTGAGATAGATAACTAACTTCACACACCCCTCGACATACAGGCTTAGCTGTATAAGTGAGAAAGATAACTAACCTCACACACCCCTCGACATACAATCACAGCTGTGTAAGTGAGAAAGATAACTAACCTCGCACACCCCTCGACATGCAGGCTTAGCTGTATAAGTGAGATAGATAACTAACTTCACACACCCCTCGACATGCAGGTACAGCTATGTAAGTGAGATAGAGAGCTAACCTCACGCACCTCTCGACAATACATGCTCAACTCTGTGGTTTGATTTCGAGCAGTAAATATTAATTAGCTCGTTGTGTTCTTGTCGTTGTGTAGTATCAGTCGATCCGTCCGACCCGACACCAATGAAGCGGCTCAACTTTGCAAGACTCATCAAGATGTACACTAGAAAGTTTGAGGCAACTGATCTGCGCGAGGCACTCCAGTATTTCTACTTTCTCCGGTAGGTGACGCTGCTGTCGCGCAAGCGTAACATGGGAGCATGATCGATGATGGTAAATGAGCGTAACGGTTGATGTTCACTAGCTAAGATGTAGCATTGCAACTCCCTCCTAAATATTTTATGGAATTTCGCACGGCAGTGTGGTCTGTTGTGTTCACTGACAATGTGTCAACTAACATTTGACATTTTCTCACGATTTTCTCTATTTCTTATCAACTTGGCAAATATTAATGGGTAGATAGTTCATGATGGTGTTTCCCCCTTTCAGCTCACTGAAGGGTACCTCCGGGGAGAATCTGTTTGTATCGTGTATAAGTGAGTTGGCTTTGGAGACTAGAGAGTACGAGCTACTGTTAGGACGCATGCAGGCTGATGGATGCCGCAAGGTTAGCAACTTTCCAACTACTACTGATCCATTTACACATACTATTATCACACTAGCACTAGTTTACCTTTTGTTTCAATTACACCAAATTTAAGACATTTATTTCTGCATTTATTCACCAAGTGAATGAGGTTTAACAAAATATCTTTGGAATTCCCATTATGAAAGCCATGTATTAGTGTTGACCTTTGTATGTCCTTTGATGTTGTCATTGCAGCCAGGATGTGTGGAGAAGTTTCAGGAAGATACGGTGAAGATTGTGGAGTTTGTGGCCAAAAATGCCGAAGATCGTGGTTTGTTTGAAGATGCTGTCAAGCTTTATGATCTCTGCAAGGTGAGAAACTAGGTCAGAAGTCATAAGATATAATGAATAATGATATAACCGTGACTTTACCAGCTATGTAGTTATGTGTTACATTAGTGAGACAGTTTACTACTATGCATATATTTCAGAAGTAGATAATAGGGAAGGAGTGTGACTTCAATAAACATGGGAAATTTGTCATTTACTAGCCTTAGAATACAGGTGGTTACTGCTGCAGGGCCGTGTACTGTATCGTCGGATGCTGTGACAGTCAGGACGACCACAGGGACGTTGCTGTTAAGATTGACGACTATCTCTGGATTAAGCTCAACCAGGTGCAGTGGGATGCTGATCCCGGTTACCATGGAGATGTGCTAACGCTGCCCACCCTGCAAAAACTCATGCTGGAGGAGTATGGTAAGGAAAGGGGGCACTGTACACGCAGGGAGATTTACTAAGCATAGTATGGGGGCACCACCGTGCAGGTGGTTAGTTATACTAGGCATAGTGTGAGAAGGAGCCACCATGCAGGTGTGCATGCGTGCGTGCGTGCGCGCGTTCCTACATCTGTGCTTTCATGCGTTTTTGTACTCTGTAGATAGTGCTTTTACTTCATGTCTGTGAGTGTGTGTGCGAGCGTGCATGCGTGCATGTGTTTACTGTGTATAGGGTTCGTGTCACGTGTCTATATGTACTTACTGTCTGCAGGGGAGAGCTACTTCAACGCATACACGCAGCCAGTGCTTTACTTCCAAGTGCTTCTGCTGACGGGACAGCCAGAAGCTGCCCTGGAGTTCTTCTCTCGACTAGAGTCGTTGCGAGTTCATGCTGTTCACATTGCCATTGCTCTGTACGAGGCACATTTGCTGCTAACACCCCTTGACATACAGACTCAACTGTGTAAGTGAGATAGATAGCTAACCTCACACACCCCTCGACATACAATCACAGCTGTG